GATGTGTGACTGGAAAACTCAGCTGATCTATAGCATATTTATGGACATTTACATATGTACAACATATGGCAGAATTCCCAACAGCCCTGCTGGGGAATGCCTAAAATAAAAGTCAGGTGATTAAAATGTACCTATAACTAAACTTTTTGTTTTTTTTTTTTAATTTAGACTGTTACAATTAAAAGGACTGTCAAAAGCCTGTAACTATTATAATTTTAATAAGCCATTAATTTTGCATTTGCATTTCAAGAAGTTGTGTGCCAGAAACAATGACGTTAACCATTTTTTTAAAAAGCTTCTCAGAGAATAAAGACAAAAACGTGAGTCATTCAGATTTAAAATTCTATCAGAGCATTTTTTTTAAACTAGCATTTTGAACGTTTGGTCAACACTGTAGACTAACACATTTGTTGATTCAGATATACATATTATCACAAGACTTTTTATTTAAACACAAAGATGCATTTGCTTGTGACATGAACCCATGAGAAAGCTCTTTAGTCTTTACAAGAGACTGGAGTGGAAAGAAGGATGGACGAGGAAGAACACATAGTAAGAGGACTGAGTCTAATATTGCAAACATTGACATCAGTTTCAACATTACAGAGAGAAAAAAAAAAAAGGACTGAAAGGTTCATTCTTACAAAAATTATAGGAATTGCTATAGTCAATGAAAACTAGTGTCTTCACATAAAACAGTCTAAAAACAGTAATAGTTGAGGGCGTATAGCCAAGGATACAGCCAAGAGAGGAAAAGGCAGGGTGGGAATGAGAGGCCAATAAGGAGCAGAAGAGTGTCTTCACTATTATTTGTCTGTAAAGATCACTATGGCTCCACAGTTGCTGTAACTACGACTGTGAAAACGTAACTTTGTTTTGTTTCTTTTAAGAGACACTTTTACTAGAATATAAAATGTGAATACCTGGCTTGCTCCCACATAAACTGTATGGCTTCTTTGCTTCGGACTTCAGCTTGGATGCGAGAAGAAACCTTCTGAACCACTCCTCCTTCTCCCTACCTGTCCTTCCAAAGAGATAAAGTACTTGATCCTTTTGGCTAGCGTACTTTGCTCCATCCTGAGGTTTCTTGGATTCTTCATTGTTCAAGTCCAATTTTTCAGCAGATAACTTTTCCTCTGTATTCTCTTTATCAGTCTGGGCCTTAGCCATAAAGTCATCCTGTCTAGCAAGTTCAATGCAAATAGGGTACTTCTTATTCCAAATCCGTTTTCGTGCCAGACTCTTAGGAACCAGGGAAATCTGAAGGATAAATGAAAGGCTTAAATTAATTAATTTTCCAGCCATATCTTCTGTGTTCCTATAGTCACATAAAGAACACGGGAACATGAGAATTACAGATCCTACATTAGATCTGCTGGGTTTAACTGACTCTTAACTTAGAGCTGGTTGGTGTCCAATCCACTGCTGTCACTAGCTCTTTGGTGAGCCACAGCCTTGGAATTCAAACAAAGACCATTTAAGTAGCTCAGACTTCTACAATCATGTGGAAAAACTCAGTTTTCATTTAAAAGACCTTATTCTCGTAGTTAAGCAGAAAAAATAGAACAAACAAGAATCTTATTTCTGTGACCACAGAGCAGGTAGTAAGAATGCAAACTGAGTTTTCAAACTCAACTTTTCAGGCCCACCTCATGAAACTGAGTGTTTGAAGTTGGCAACAGCCACATTGAGTATAAAAGATTCAAGGAACAAAAGTGATTTGCAGATAATTATATTCTAAATTCAGTATATTCAGAGAGAATTGAGACAATGCAAGTGATGAGAAGAGTGATAAGAGTTAAAAACTCTAATCTAGCGGCTGAACTTACCCACATTCTCCAAAAACTGTGGGTAATACCTTGGAGAATAGCCATATTGCTTACTATATTCAGGGCATCCAGCACTTTGGCAGTCAGTCAGGGTGGGGTGTATTGGAAATTTTTCTAAGATACCATGGAGAATGGACTATCAGTCAGTGCTCTTGTAGCATGTGATAGCTTTGCTTGACTTAATTATGGGAAAACAGACCTGCAATAGGCAGGAATCTAAGTTTTTGCTTTATCTTTTTCATTGTCTTCCTTTAATGGAAAGCAGAGCTGACAGCAAGCTCCTTTCCCACAGTGATTCAGAGAAATGAAGGGATGTTTTCCTCACTGTCGCCTTAGTCCCTCTCTCCCTCTAACTCCCACAGTCAATTGAAGCATCGTTTCCTCCTACATCTGTACTGCCAAGGCCCTCTATTGACACAGCACATTTAAAAAATCCATTCTTTTAATAACAAGGTATTGATGTGTTACTTAATACAATGCCAATGGAATCAACTTCATGTGGCAACTCTTCACAGATTTGAGGGAGGCAAGTAACATGTAGGAAAACTGTCCCAGCATTATTCTTGATGTGCTCTTCCCACTGCAAAAATCCCCATCTCCTTCCCTAGACAGTGGGTACCAACAGCAAGTCATGTCTGTTCCAGCCACCTCTTGCTCTCCTCTTTTACATCCATATACTATGTACATTCCCCGTTCAAGTGTAATGGAAATGTCTGAACTGCCTTGGGATAGAGACAACCACTAAAGATTACACATTTTGGTGAAAGCTTCAGAACAGTCACGCAGTAATTGAATGTATGGGGAACAATTCTCTAAACTCCCATGTGTTAACTTCTGCTTTGAACTGACAGAGGAAAATCATGCTTTTCCTTTACTGTGTAAATATGTACTTTTTTCTAAATCCTGCTCAATCTTCCTCCCCAGCACAATCTTTCACAAGTTAGTCACGACAACAGTTTTGTTTACATAATGACAGCACATCAAAGCAGAGGAGTGAAAAAATTTCAAAATAAGTTTCAAAGTATTCTTTGTTAAAAATCAACACTCACCTTGCTCTCTGTAAGTTCATAAATTTTCTGGCTGACATATGTGACTTCAGGCTTTGGCTCATTGTACACAGCCCTTCTAGAAATATTTTTATTGGGTTTTGAAAGTCGTAAGGTGCTTCCTTCAAGTCGGACATAGACAGAGTGAGTCAACGTAGCATGGTAGGTTTCTGGATCATAATTATAAATTTCATTCATCCATCCCTAGAGAAGAAAACACTTGTTAACAGGCTTTTAAGCTGCTCAAACACCAAGTACAGCACGTACATAAAAGTTTTGAATAATTACCCAAGCTTTTGCCAAAGTTATTTCACTTACTGCACTAATACAATAAAGCAGTAAACATCTTAAATGAGGAAGCACAAAACTGACAGAGCATGAGATAAGGACTGTATGCCAAGCACATAATTTGTTTTTCTGAGTAAATAATTTGGTATATGTAGCACAGTGCTCTTCCACTTCCTCTTCATGAAACCCTGTGAGATGTGTGGACACAGCCTTGCTGGGAAGAGCCACAAGGCAGCCAGTAAGGGCACGCTGCAGAGAAGCCCGTCTGCTTACAGCAGCATGGACATTTTAATCACCAACAGTCAAGGCAGAGCAAACAATCTGTCTGCTTATACACAGCACTGACATTTTAATCACCAACAATTAAGGATTGAGTGGAAGACCACAATGGAGTTTGTTTTAACGCACCATCACCATTTAACATCATTTAACATGTTGTGTAACTGCCCGGTCACACCACAGGAGTCATACGCTGGATTAAATTCCATTTGTTTCTGTGCAGTGAAAGAAAAAGAAAACAAACAAACCAGCCCTGCTGTAACAAGCCTGTAAGCACTGACCCTAACCATGGGGGTGGTGTTACTCCTCTAACATCTGACTAAAGAAAATGAACAATGATAAATGGGGCAGCAAACAAGCCAGAATACTCATTCAAGGAGAACAAGTTTTCCTTTTCTTAACCTGCCCTACAACATATTTTGCCAATTACTTTTACCTGTACATTAAAACCTTAATTTGGCATACTCAATATTCATTAATGTCAACAACAAGCAAAGAGGATAGACTTACACAGATGTACCCTAGAGCACAGAGTACAATGGCATCTTTATAAACACCTAGATGAGTAGAGCAGGGGGAGAGCAGCTGCTGCTGGGAAGAGGGGAGAGCTGAACAAGCATACCTAGTATTCTTCAAAACAAAAAAGTTAGCACTACCTTATGCATAACATTCCAGAAATTACTCCAACATCTGAACTTCAAGAAGTTTCCACTCATGTAGAAATGTAAAATTTATTTTAATGCTCATTTATTTCAGTGCCATGTAATTTCTCAAAGTAGACTGCATACGCTTAGGTGCCATAGTAACAGTGATACCTGTTTTGCTTACTTCAACATCTAGCTCCATTTTCACTATATACCCCTGAAAAATCTAGATAAATTAACATTTATTTTATATTCAGGAAAGATTAAGTCATTCATCTTGGGTCAGCTACAAAGCAGACTACCTCTTTTATGAACAGAAATACCTATACTAACACACGGTCCTTGCAGAAGCTTTGTGCTTGGGTTTTTTGCTTACATGGAATTATAGACAATGCATGAGGAAGAGTTTTCTACAAACCACTGAAGTTCTGCACAGCAAGGTTGATGTTTGAGCACATCCCTTTTCCTTCCTAGAAATTATTAAGCCAAGACATCTCTGAGCAGACAGCAATTAATTTTCAGCCAAAAACTCCAGCTGGACTGACTGAAGCACAAGGAGAACATGTGAGTTGCCTAAAGCCAGCATGAGCCATTCACTCTACAGAACTAGAATATCCATATGGCCCACAGATTTCTGGAGAAATTCCCACCTGCCCCCTGGATCAGACCTCCGAGCTATTTCTAGCTCAGACATGCAAGTCTGGAGCCTGCAGCCAAGCAAACATACAGACAAAAATTTGCTGCCTCAAAAGTTTATCGCCTTCTCCTGCAAGACAGCTCAGCTGAAGACCAGACAAGCTGGCACAAAGAGAAAGGAACACTTGGAAAGTGGCTCCTTATAGGAAGCTTGGCCAGATGGGCCCTTTCTATAACTGTAATAAGTTATGATGTTATTTTCAGTAGGAGGTTTGGAAACCTCTGGGTACATGTGGTACCCAAGAAGGAAGGTCAGAGCACACTTCATGTTTCCTTAACATCCTGATGGAGGTAGAAGCAGCTGGAGTTTTCTGACATCAGCATTTGAGCTGAGCAGGGGACATGCAGCAATGAAAACAAGGTGTGATGTACACATCATTCTCGTGACTGCCATGTACCATAGGAGGATGTAAAAATCCACGAACATAGGTTCAAAGATGAAAAGCTGTGAGTTGAGGTAATAGGAACAACTTGGGACACACAAATGCACAAACTTTGCTACGCCTTCTCAGCAGCTATACGACTGTTATCCAACACCCTTGTCAGTGATGTTTAATTTTATCCCTCCAGCACATACCGAGATGCCAGAGCCACACCTGTGATGAAAAGGCGTGAGGCTCAGGCTACATTAAGTGACTTAACCAAGCTCAGTGAACCTTGGGTAGCACAAGGGTCTGAATCCATCTGGTGTATCATCCAGCACCTCTCCTATCCTATTTCTTCTGTAACAGTGCCAATAACAGCCTTTCTGCCAGAAGATTTCCTTACCCTACACAATTAAACAGCAGAGGAGAGGCCTTTTTGAATACTGTCACTTTCTTCCCAGCAGCAGCAAGACACACACTGAATTCAAAGGGAAAAAATAAACAAAACAGAATCTCCGCTTCCTCGGTTTGTATATTCCAACATCTTTCAGCATTCAGAAGCCCTGGAAAATCCCACCTGCTTTTCTGATCCCTACCAGGCACCCAGGCTTTCCACTTCAAACAAATGGATTAGCTGCATAATCTGCCAAACACACACTTCCCAAACCTCGTACCGCCACCTCCCCTACTCACCGCATGTAACAAACGCAACAGAAGCGCAAATGCTGCTTCTCGTAACACAACCACCAGGTTATGAGTGACTGAAGCACCTGTCCAAGACTTCTAATGACTTCCAGATGCCTAAGGTACTAAACATTCAAAACCTAGAACTGAGAGAATAAATTTACTGCCTAAACCAGCAGCCTACGTAGTGATTTCTATACAAGGAAGAGATCGGTTGCTTCATGTATTTGATGCATGACCCAAAAACCAAAAGATACACAAGTTTAAATTCAAATATTTTTGATTTTATTTTCAGACAGTACCTAGTCGACAGTTTCCTAACTCCTAAGGATGCACTGTTTCCTTTTTGCACTCAACTCTCAAGTTATTTTGTAACACAGAGAAACATTGTATGGCTGAGAGTGAAATGTTAATACTTTACCAAATGGTGATTGTTCATGTATTCTATTAATACATCTGAAAATCTGTGCCAGCTGCAGGATTTCCCCCCTCCCTATATATCTAACAGTGTTAAAGGGGGAAACAACACAATCTGCCTTCTCACTTCAGCAATTTTCATTTTTGTAAATTGTTTCATCTAGCATAAAACACATTTTTTAGGTTATCCAAGAAACTCCAAAACTCTTTCCAAATTTCCTGCATTTTAAGAACAATTTCAGCAGAAATATTTCCGCCCCTCCCTTTGCAACGACAAGTTAGAACAAAAGATTCACAGCCTACAGAAAGCGTTTTGCAATGCATCTAAACAGAGAAGTTATGTTACCATAACGTGCTAGCAACAGATGAATTTTTCCAAACTACTGAAACAACAATGATTTCCTTGTGCAGGAGAGGAGTGACTGTATGATGGGTCTTTCTTGTACTAGTGAAGTTGTTAAAACGAGAAATTTAGTAATTCAGGGAGGACAATGACCATAGTCATATGCTACTCTGCAGCTGTTTGCCATTTACACTGATCCTGTGATCTCCATTTATAAAGGTCAGCAGTTGCTCTGAATTCACAGCTGAAATTAGGAGAAAGTGCCTCACCATCACACTGGGAACTCAGCTGAAGAAGTATCTGGTTAGAATATTGGGTGGCACAGCTTTTATAGCCAAGGTTACTATTCAAAACCCCAGATGTGTGCTAACAGGCTCTGGCCCGTTTGTTAGATGGCAGAGACAGAACTTTTGGCTTTCCAGGTGCAGCACATCACCTCTGTCACAGCAGTGCTACCAAGTAAACCAGCCCCTCGGGAACGCACGCATCTCTGAAACACAAGAACCTGCGTAAAACAGCTTTAAAAGGCCCATTCCGGTTTACATTTCCTCTTTCATGACTCTGGGCTGCAAATTTTTTATTCAAACTGCAGAATAATTTGTATGAGTAAGAACTGCAGAGTCAGGCCCGGCAGAGTATCAACTTTTTAATGTCACTTAGTTTAAAATCTCAGGCATGTTATATCTTAACCTGAGAGAGGAGATGGGGGAGCTGCAAAAGACCCTTCCAGTAAAGAACCCAAAGGGTTGGGGGCATAGACAAGGTCTGCATGTAAAAATAAACCAAAATCATTACTTCTACAACGTTTTCAAATACAGAAATAAAAGAATCATCAAGTCAACTTCATAATATGAGGCCAAATCTGGATTAAAACTGCTCCCTGAGTTTCTTAGTGATATTAACAGACTGATTAATATCCATTACCTTTAAATGATATAATCAAATGCTCCAGCACTGAAACTCTCAAAAGACTGTTGATCCCTCAAATCACACTAATTGTATTATTAACCCTCTCATTACCACTATTTTATAATACTTCAGTAGTATTTTGCTTGATAAATGAGGAAAAATGTAATGCAGTTTTTTGAGCTTTTATTGACAGGGAATCTAAAGACACAAAAAAGATCTAAGGTGGGCAGAAGTAACCACCACCTTAACTGGAAAACACATTTGTCTGCCAGAGGCCACTATCAAACATGAAATCCCCTAAGTGACAGTCAGGAACAGCATGCTGGTGAAAAAAACCTCCTCTTTCTGTGCAGCTGTGGCTCAAACAGCTTCATTTCTCTAGCAGGCACTGCCAATGTGGTCTTCTCATAAAAGGTCTTTCTAATGGAAAGGGTAAATTTATCATTTCCATTTTAGCTGTTACTTAAAACCTTTTGTATCAGTCAGCAAAACACAAGGGAATACACACTTGAGAAAGCCAATAAGGAAGTTAGAAAAGACTAATGCATTAAAGAAGAAAAAAAATGTGGCCAGAGGAAAAAAAAAGGAAAAGGAAGCTAGAGAACTGAAGAGTAAGGGAATGAGAAAATAAAGAAATATACACTGAAGATGCAGGAGGTTTGTGTGCATTTGCTGGCTGGTGGGGGATGTTCTCCCTCCAATACCAATGACATCTGAGTGAAGTAAGTACAGGAATCTACAGAAGCACACACTAACCAGCACAACAGTGTTTTGCTTTCACATTGAGAAAGAATAATTTTGGGGGAGTCAATAGTAACGTTCAGGTATTTTAGCAATTGCTGAGGGGAGTTTTCCACAAACAAAAGAAATTTCTCAAAGAATGTTTACATGGGGGAGAATGCAAATGTACTTGTATAAAAATAGCTTGACAGCAGTTTGGCAGAATTTCAACTCTTAGAGCCCCAGGAAGGGATCTTACTCCTGGCATTTATCATAACGGCATGAAAGCAGTTCAGGCCAGAATGCAAGACCAACAAGTTCTGAAGAGAGTTTCTTTATGCAAGAGCATCAAGTTTGATTTTCCTGTATTCACCTGAGTTTTGTTACAGATTAAATCTTTATCTCGTGTTTCAGAGGATCTAAACTGCTCAGGGCTCATTTTGACAGAAGCAAATAGAAAACAGTTGTATGAAGGGAGGGAATAATAACTTGCAATCTGCTAAGTCATATTACATTATGTTCCACTTCAATATGGGCACTGAGCTGGTTTTTGAACTCCTGATGCATTAAAAAGCTCTTTTATAGGGCTCTACATATTAAGGACAATTACTATGTGTGTTAATGAGTGCAAGAAATACTTATCAGGTCATACAAAACATTAATCTACATTCATACAGACTTCTCTGCACAGTTCATTTCTTGCCTACAGCCATTCTTATAAAGTGTTATCTCCTGGATAAAAGCATTAAAATATAGTTTAAAGGTTCCTGAACAACAGCTAACACCTCAAAGAGCCATCTTAACACCAGCCAACAATGAATACCACAATCTTTACCAGCTTTCAAGTATTAAGGCAAATTTATACACAGGGTCTCAGCACCCAATTAACAAGGACAAAACTGAAAGTTTGTCAAGATTTGCATGTGCAAGCAGCGGTAAATCAGCTGGGCAGACAGGAGTGTTCAGTCTGCATTCATAACAAATACAGACCACAATTCACATCATTCTAGAAAAAAAGGGAACACTAAGATAGCACTGGGGTTGGGCATGCAATTGCTGTCTGTATTCAGCAAAAGTTGGCTTTTATACCCTGTTTCTCTAACTTTTCAGTTCTCTAAATATACATGAGATTAGCTATCAATGCAATATAGATTCTATAGCATATAACCAATACTGTATGAACTTAAATTCATGCAACCTTTGTGTTGTTACACAACTGGAGATGCACCTGCAGAAAGCTCGAGATGGATTTAGTATTTCCACAAATACAAGAAAGCATTCACAAATAATAAGCAAGTAATATCAAGTGAAGGTTGTACGTCATCATCCTGAAACGCTTCTGTTGCACATCAGAAACTAACAGACGCTTTATTGTTCTGGATTCTGCAACTGGGAAAATATTATTTTAACTAATCAGAGATGGAGATTAGAAGAGGCAGGACAGAGACAAGGAAGAAGGACAAAGCCACAGAAATAACTGAGTGGTTGTATGGATCACAACTGGAGAGTGATGTATGAAGTGACAGCAACTTGCAGTATCTAAACAAGTAGTTGAGATGGGGAAGGGCAAAGAGGAGGGAGGATAAATTTTCTATGAGCTTGATTTAAAACTCAGCTCTCAGGCACATGTTTTACTGAACTGTAATCTGTACTATACAGTACAATACTCAAGATAGCACGCAGAAACACAGAGATCATAAACCATGAGTATGCCCCTTCCATCACTCATTCTTCCATTCTAAAGTTCGAGGAGAGTTCATATGCTCTCCAACTATCCGTGCTTTACTTCAACACACTTCTGAATCTGCTTAGACTGAATAGACAAGACAGATAAGTTACTGTCTAGACAGTAAAATACCCCAGAAACAAAATACATCTCCCAAGATGCAGCTTCAAGCACAACTGTTACTTTATACACTAAACTCTGACACTACTTGCTCTCAGTAGTTCAGCTGGATCATTTCAAATCCATCAGTAAAACCATTTGCCCTTTTACTTTTGAAGCAATTCTGGTTTTCTGCTAATCCTTAAGGACACTGAAGTCTTATATATTCTTGGATATTAAACCATTTGTGCCCCTGCCAAAGCTGCCTGACCTTAAAACAAAACTCTGCTTTTGGGGATAATGGGGATAATTCAGGTCATTTACACCTTCAAAATAAATCTAGTTTACTAATTCTACCCCAAATGGAGTTGGGGCTGTTCATGGAAAAGAGAAGGCTCCAGGGAGAACTTGCAGCAGCCTTCCAGTATCTGAAGGGGCTACAAGAAAGCTGGGGAGGGACTTTTCATAAGGACAGTTAATGACAAAACAAGGGGAAATGGGTTTAAGCTGAAAGAGGGGAGGTTTAGATGAGATATTAGGAAGAAATTATTTACTGTGAGGGTGGTCAGACACTGGAACAGGTTGCCCAGAGAAGCTGTGGCTGCTCCTCCCTGGAAGTGTTGAAGGCCAGGTTGGATGAGGCTTTGAGCAACCTGGTCTAGTGGAAGGTGTCCCTGCTGATGGCAGGGGGGTTGGAACTGGATGAGCTTTAAGGTCCCTTCCTTTCTATGATTCTAAATAAATGCACAGACAGACACACAAAATGCCATGACCTCACCTTCAGTATTTCAGGTTCTTTGATGTCCAGAGCTCCTGTATTCCATCGCTTTTTTATACTGCTACGCAATTTGAGATACTCATGAGTACGTGGAGTAAGAAGCCAAATCACACAGAGAGCTATCATAAATCCAAGGGCCATTCCAAGTAAGAGTCCACTTAAGTAGCCAGGGAGAGGGATAATAAAGTAAGCATAGACTAACAGTGTTAGGAAGTATAAAGTTTTCACTGGTATTTCAGGCTGTTGCACATACAGATTATTTTCATCTTCACTACTGAGCATAGTACCATCTTCTTCAGCCATCTCGGCATCGAGCAAAGTTTCAGTTAGTTGATCAGTTTTGCATTCATCCTCTAGCAAGGAAAAGTCTTCAGAATACAGTTCACAAAACTCCTCATCCTCTCTGCTTGCTAGTGCAGACAATGAACATTTTTCAAGTACAAGTGAAGTTTTTGAACTCGCATCCTTTGTGCTTGCAGACTGAGAGCTTTTGGTCTCTGTCTCTTTCGCATGTTCCTCAGCAGCTTTTGACTGATCATTCTTACTCAGGTTAGAGTCACTTCCATAAAAGTCCCCTTCAGAATCACATTCCTCTTCCTTGATGCTGTAGTTGTTATTGCTTTCCAAATGGCCATTCAAACTGGAAAGGTTTGAGAGTTCTGAAGCACTTGAAGATAAGGCTTTGGGCCTGTGGCTACTACTTTCATCACCCATTATTTTACTGAGCAGCTGAAAAGGCTCATAGATTACTTCAGAAAGGCGTCTTTTAGTATCTTCAATTTTAGCCTCCATTTCAGGTACTTTAAAAAAGGAACGAGTGTCAGAGGGAGATGTTAATGGAGACGAGGGGGCAGTTTTAGAATCACCACCTGTAGCTCGAGGTTGGGTGAACTGTTTGAACAGATGCAAGTTCAGCTTTGAGTCGGGTGGCCTGTAAGACACAGCTTCAGATTCTTGCTTCGAAGTATCTGTAGACAGAGATTTCACTAAGGTTTTCATTAGCTGTCTATGTCGCATCGGTGGGGTGGGTTCTTTTGGTTCCACATCTGTTGAAAGGGACTTGACTAAACCCTTAAAAGGCTTTGAACTAGAAACGGTGGATGATCCACTAGAACAGACAACTGATCTGGAAGGGGATGAGGATGGAGAAGACGACAGGCTGGATTTCTGTTCCACAGGTTGTGGTGCACCCGATAAGCTAACTGTATGACACGAGTGTGATGATGGAGACAGGACTAGTGGCACTGCACTCAATACTTGGGATGTGGAAGGAGAATCCAACAGCTTTACAGTCTCTGCAGTTGGCAGAACTGCAGGCGATGAGGACAGTAGTGATGCAGAGTTGGCCATGTTAAGCGAGGTAGCTGGACCAGAAAAATCATGGCCAGTATGCTCAAAGCAGAGGTCTTCCTTGGCTTCAAGTGCTGTTACAATGCTTTGGTCATCTAGTTCCTCATCAAGAAATTCCTTAAACTCCTCTTCCTCCTCTTCTTCTTCCTTCCCAAATGCAGAGAAATGAATAGTGATGGTTTCTCGGGAGACAGATCGTTGGACTTGCACTTTTGGTGCTGACTGCTTTGAGGACATTTCACCAGTTTTCTCTGCATGGCTACTGTTCTGACTTGTCATTGCAGGTCCCAGAGACGTGTCAGAGTCTGTGAAGAAAATGTAATACTATGTTAAATGCATTTTTCCCCACTTCAAACGCCCTCATTTTCAAGCATTAAGCCAACACAAGAGACAGGTTATATGCAACAGGTAAGTCAGTTGAAAATTAACACACTCTGGACACTCTTCATCTCACTGGATTTAAAACTGTCTAGTCAAATTACGGACTGTTACTAAAGACATTGACTGTAGATTTCTTTCATTGCATAAAACATATCTATATTTTAGTTAAAACCCTCTTCACATCTGCTTAACTACCTCATTTTTAGTATCACTGAATGCAAGAACAGATTCAAAGACAGACAAGGAGAGAAACATTGTTAGGACAAGTGGCAATCTTGGATAGGAACAGAGAGCATCAGCAGACCTTCTCAGATGATCTTGAAGGCAGAATCTGACACAATTTTTTTGGGGGGGAGGGGGGAAATTGCACGACTAGATGCAATTCTGAGTTCCAGAAGCCCCATCCCAACCCAGCACACTGAAATTCTTCACTCCTAGCTCCCAGTTCCATCTACATACAATACCTAATGCTTTCTACTTCTACATAAAGCAAATTTGAAACTCAAAGCAAGGGCAGAAATATGTAGAAGTCTTCACTTGTGGGACAGTACCTTCTCTTGTGCACCTGTTTGAACTGGTCTATAGAAGCAGAGATTTAAATTGTATTTTATCATGTGTGTTATCATGGTTTATGGTTGGACTCGATGATCTTAAGGGTCTTTTCCAATCTAAATTATTCTTTGTAATCTTTGTCTTTCTGGGTGTTGCAAGCTATGGAAAAATTATTAGGATACACAATAGTCCAATAACTGCAGGCAAAAAACCCAAACATAATTGGACAGAACTTAATTCTAAAAGTTATCCTCCTGAATTCCAGGACTATACACCCTTAAAAAGTGCTTTTTAGCAGAACCCCAGTACAGCAAGATGAAGTAGCTTCAAACACTTCAATAATGGACAGTATCAAACTAAATGTTGTCAAAAAGACACGAGTCAGACTTCTGCAGACACAACATGTTTGAGATCCACCTCAGATAATGTATACACGCAAAGAATTTATTACTGCTAGCAGTTTTGCTGTAAGAATATGTAAGGACACTTCAGCAGAGGCAGCTGTTCTCACCCATACAGCAGTAGTACTCTTTGAAAATACCAATCTCTGATCAGATCTGTGCACACAGGCTGCTTCTGCGGCAGATACACTAACTCACCTGCCTTTGGCATCAATTATACCTACATGTCATTTCAAGCATTTTATTGACCCATGAAAGTGGATCTAGCATATATTCACATGGAGAGGAAATATCACACATTTAATCCAAGGCACTGGTGACCAGACACAAAGATGGATCAAGAATTACAAGATTAGCTCTGTCTTCCCAGCTATGAGGCAGCACTTCATCTTCATTGTCAAGGCAGCAAGTTTACCACTTCAGTAACTGAATTATTTTTCAGAAGCTGTTAAAATGCTGTAATCAAACTGTCAAGCTGAATTAATTAGAGTCTTTTGCTGATGTTTAAAGAGCAGTTCAGAAGAATTATTATGTGGCGGTGAAGAAATGTGCACTTCACAAACAGTTGTGATATCAGATTGTATTATCCAGCAAGCCAATGCCACCTGCTCATCACCATCTTCCCACTAAAGGTTGTAGTCCTTTACACTTGCTGCTGGAGCTGTTCATTTAAGCCATCAGTAAAATGACTTAGGTTAAACATTTAAAAATAGCAGATCTTTTCTACCCAGCTTACCCAGTAATGTTGGAAGAGAAGCAAATATCTGTTCACAACTTCCTACTCACTATAGTTGTCCATTTTATGGCTCCTAAACTGCTGACTAGTTTATTTCTTGCTTCTTCTGGCATGTGTGCTTCCCAGTCAGGTTGTACAAAAGGAACTGGACTTTATCCTACTTCTTGGAAAGCCTCCAGAGATTTTAACTTCAGTTTTCAGCTCCAGTTCTGCTGCACATGTCGGGGACCCACTTTGGGTTCAAAGAACCAAAAGAAGCTTTCAGACCCTAGTCATGCTTTCACTTGACACCTAACCATTTTTCTGACAAACTGCTTAGGAGACAAAATTCTGCCTCAAGATCAGGTTCTGGCTTCAGCTTTTATCATGGAACTGTTTTCTTCTGTACTCCCCAAAATCCATCTGACATATCAAAGTAGCAACATTAAACAAAGAACTCGCTTTCAGTGATGGAGGTGTAACTCTGAGTTTAGATATACATCTATCAGCCATATGGATATATAACTCAGTGAGTGTTACACTTGGTAAGAAACTTGGTCTTTCATTTCCCTGCTGGATTAGCACACTTGGGAACAACTATTATACAGAATCCATGTTTCCTATGGACACAGTTCCATTTCATGTAGTTAAAACCACAAATTTCCCAATTTTTTAGACAAATGCACAATTTTGGAGAGAGAAAAAACTACTACTGGACAAGATATGTATCCAATCCTATTTCCATTTCCCTAGTGCAGGACCATCAGCTATCACACATCTCTAACGTTTTGTGCCAGTTGTCAAAGAGCAAGACTAGCAAACCAAAATTTAAAAGTACAAAAAACCCATACTTATCTTCCAGGTCATTGAGTCATTACAACACTACACACTGAGGAAGGAAAAAAAAACAAACATACATCTAAAAATGACCCACACAAGAGCTGCACTCACACATGATGCTGTTGGTATCAGCTTGAAATGTCTTACCCTTTCTCTTCTGCCCATTGGGCACTAACTGTGTATCAATAATCTAGCAACACAGGAGAAAAATATTAACTACTCCCTCTACCTTAATAACATTTCTAGTGTGTTATTTTCGATCAGCTAGAAATTCATGCTTTTGGTTAGCTCTTTAGCACACTATGTTTACACTATACAGTTAATTACCTTGTGTTTAAACACCAGTTGCCGTGTTGTGCTAATGTAGTGCTAATTACCTGAAACAGGTGAAGTTTACTTGCACATACCAAATGTACTGAAAAAAGACTTTACTGCTTACTGAACAAGCAATATTTTTTTACAGCATGATTAACTAGTTAACACAGAAAGGAAGGAAATTGATCAGCAAATATTTACCTACCCTTAAACATGTTACTATACCATAAATGATGTCTTATAAAAACACATTCTTAAATCAGCGCTTTCAACAGGGCAGCAGCAGAACATTAACATAATTCAACCACGTGCACTTTGGCATCCTCAGCCCATGACTTACAAGATAATTCTGTAGTATCCAATGCCCTCAAATCTAGCCCAAGTGATATTTCAGTTGAGGGGACTGGTTTTCAGGAACAATCATTTCTATTTGGGCAAATAATCATTTTTATCCTTCTTTGATTTTGCTGGAACTTTCTAAATCAAGCCTGTCTATAGGTCAGTTTCGCTACACGGCAGTTCATGTTTTTCCCAAGCACAGCTGTTCAAAGCTGCATCTTGTATCAAATTTTCTAACAACTGGTATATAAAAAAAACAGCATACAATACAGGAAAAGTATGGTAATGCTATTTACTTAAGAGAGCACATGTGTTTTGGCAAACAGCAGATATTTCATTACAGGCATTCTGAATATCAATTGTGATTACAACAGTACTGCACTCTCTACATTATTCCAAGCTTTTAACAACTCTTACCCCTCTTAACACACCAGATATCCTACTGAGTAATTTCCCTCCACAAACACATGATAGGGGAGATTTTCCCCTGCTCTGGGCAGGTCTGTGTTTCCAATCCATTCCTGAGCACAAATTCTGCACAAATTCTCTTTTTTATTGTGAAGGATTTGTTGGTTTGGTTTTTTGTGGGTTTGTTGTTTTGTTGTTTTTTTTTTTTCCAAAGTAGATGTGGAGAAGTTCTTCCATAGCAAACACAACAATAACATCCCAGACTTCTTCCACTACCACTCCCGACAGCTCCTCCACTAGGTGTTCAGTTCTGATAACAAAGATATTTCATCAGGTTCTTGAACCACAGGTTTTTCCCCTTAAATCATTATAACAGATTCACTTCTTACTGATTTCTGGCTATGTTTTTCCTCACTCACTGCTTCCCCTTTTTCCTACTTTTCACCTCCTTTCCCAGCTGTCTGAAGATCCAGTGTTCCTGGCCTTCCCATTTGAAGTGGGACAATTCCAAACCAACTGTTTGCATCGATACACACAGAAACATAAGTGTTCACTGTTCCTTCTTTTGAAAACCACACTGTCCCCACCTTCTCTGGCTGCCTCTTTTTTTGTTGTTGTTGCTGATTCTGAAGATGTAAGGTATCAGTTTTATTTATGGGGCAGGCAGTCCTGAATAATAATCTTACATCCTCAGGCTTCAAATGATTCAAAACATTAATTTTTACCTGAAAGGGAAGGAGACTGCTCAGAAAATATTTTTTTCCTCCCTAAAGGTTTGCAGTTTGGATGCTTTTGCAGGGTGGAATGAGAGAGCTGCCAACCAACTACTGCCGCTTCCACTTCTTATGTTAAGGCATTGCACCCCCCTCACCACATGACAGCAGTTTATAATCCTCACCTACGGGCATTGCTTTTAAAGTGCTACAGCAACAGGAAATAGCAAACCAGGCAAACAGTGCACACACACTGCCTGGGAATAGAAAATATTTCTTGCCCAGCTCTTTCCTACCGAGCGGCGAGGCAGCACGGTGCAGGAGCTGAGGGCTTGTTTTTACCCAGATGACAGCACATCTCCACCACGCCGTGACGCGCCTGCTGACGAACAGGGACACCCGGGGAGAGACCAGGTGCTGGGTCAAGTTAGGCCATGACACCTTTTAGAAGTGTCACTATAGTAACACATGCTCTTACCTACACCAGGAATGACTAATTGGGAGTATTTATAGAAATAGCCAAGCACCCAAGTGATCTGTGCTGTTACCCAACAGCACAAACAGCCCTCTCTCTCCACAATTGGTAAATCCTCTTCCTTTTCCCTGCAGTGGGCAAACACAGACCCCAGCCTTCTTCAGCTGAGCCCCAGAAACCACCCACTTCACAGCACTGAGAAAACACACCCCGCACCAGCAGAAGTCTGTCGGCTGGCTGTACAGAGAGAGGGGCCATAGAAATCATCCTCTCATCTACCAGATCAGAAGCGTTTCAGGACTGAAGAAGTCAAGCTTATGCTTCATAAAAACACGTTAATTTTTCAGGAACTGGGGAGGGAAAGATATTTATGGTGCTACCAGGTGTCTGAACAGCTTGTTTACTAACTATTAGATATTGACCATTGGGCATGAGATATCCAGAATGTGTTGCCTGCTCACATCCTAACAAAGACAGCAACAGTTTGTAAAGCAGAAGCCATTCAGCTAAAGGCAAACATTAAAAGCTACAGCTTTTCCAGTAAACCGCAGAAAATCTCAATCCACAGTGAAGGGCGAAGAGAACTCAAAGGAAGAAAGTTGCTGTCATGACCAGGTAGCAACTTACCCCTCCTAGTTTTAAGTACAGTGGAGAAATTTAAAGTAACAATTTAGCAAAACACTGTTGTCTTTCTTCATGTCATTTTACTATTATTTTCTGAGTTCTAGAAACATTGAGATGCAGCTTTGGAGGCTCTGGAGGAGGTACAAGTTGGATGCACGCTTAGTGTCAGGGCAGTAAACGCGGGTGGGAAGCAGCAGCTGTTTTGTTATCCTGGAGCTGGAAGTTAAGAGAGTTAATGGGAAGTTCTGAGATGCTGTATGTGGGGAAGTTGTGACTGCATGGCACAACATATTACAAGAAGCCACTCAGTTAAAGGCAAATGTTGAAAGCTACAGTTCTTCCAGTAAACTGCAGAAAATCTCAATCCACAGTGAAGGGAGGAGAGAACTCAAAGGAAGAAAGTTCTTGTAATATTTTTGCTTATATGTGACTCTGGTTATGGCAAGGGAACTTTATTTTACAACCCTTCAGTAGTCTTAGTTCTGCACAACTAATGGGCAATGCTAAATGTGGACCTCGGACAGACACCCTGATTGCAGCCACAGTGAGGGGAGGTAGGGAGCCCGTGAGCACACAGAAAGGAGGATAAGGCTCACAAAGAGATTACACTAGAAAGAAGGATAGAGTGTTGGACCTTCAGTGCTGATTAGAATGTATACATAAAGAATACAGATGTTCAAAATAAGTTTGCTTGTATCCTGTCTGCAAATGAGGATGCAACTTGGGTGCATCCAGGATTAACTGGGATGCTTAACTGAGTATTTACTCCCTCTCATGGTTCATAACCCCATCATTCACAAAGCACACCTGGACTTGTTTTCTCACCCTCTAAACCAAAATTAAGCACTTCCAGACTAGCAATAAGAGCACTAAACAACTACCTTCTATTCATCACGCATTTGGCCTCCTGCTAGCATAGCGTGGACTCTGCAAGTTGAGAGTTCCTCGATTAGCACTTGCTGTACCCACCTGGAAAGTAACAGGCAGAACACAGAAGAGTCACGCAAGGCCAGGCATCTCTCGAAGGTGGGAAATGGTGTCTCAGGACCCATATCCTCACCTTAAAGAGGACCCACGAGTCAGCAACTAAGTCAAGGGGAAAAGTCTAGCACAGGGGAAGAACAACATGACTTCAGCCCGAGCAAGCAAACGATCCACTTTCACCCAGTTCACTTATTTGGGCTACTTCTGGCACATTTGAATCTAGCGTGAGGGCAGGGGGACACCACTACACATCTATTCTTAGCAACTTCCTATGAACAAAGGAACAACCAAACTACACCTTCATAAACCCTCAGAAAGGGGATTCTGTCCTTCTGCTTTTCAAGCATCCTCCAGATCACTGTGGGTCCTTTCAGACAACAGTGACGTTATTAATAAAGCAGGACAAGGTGAAATTAAGTTAATTTAGCAGCTTCATATCTGAGATAAAGGTGAGTGTAAACTGAGACAATTTGGAAAATTAGTCATATTTTAGAAAATAAAATCAAATTAAATCCAAACCTAAAAGTTCCAAAACTATTCACCTCCACTTCCAATTCACATCACAGTGAGGACTAGAACTGTTTCAGAATTGCATAAAAATCCCTCATGTTTTAGTCCCAAGTTGAGTACCTTTACCCTTTTTGAAGTTTTATCATTTTACAGCCTGTAGGTAGAAAACAATATCCAGTTCTTGAGAACAGGTTTAGATTGACTTGTTTGCATATGCTTTCAGAGCTCACACGAGTTAAAATAAGTCATATTTACACTAGCAGAAGCAAATTTTATTTTCTAAGCATTCCTACTTAAGACACTTAAGTGCCTGTTGCAGCCAATTATATTATCAACTTTACAGATTATGAAAAGCAATTATCTCCACATTAATGATTTACAAAGTGAGTCAACCAACACTCAAAGTCACAAGCTAGGAACTAACTTAAAAGAACAGGTCAAAGTTGCACACACCATGCTTATTCTATCCACCCATACACAGTTCAACTCAGCCACATCTACTAATTAAGGGATGTTCAGTACAACAATTCAATGTTTTTCATCATCTTCCAGTCGGATAAACAGAACAGACTGGGTAACTAAATTCAAACACGTTGCAACAGCCAACTCTTCCAATCACATTGCTATTACTTAATGCAACACCTACCCAAGGAGGAAAGGGTATGCTATATTAGTAAAACGCTTTCATCAAAATCTGCAAAAAAACCTTGTCAGAATATTTTCCCCGCTCATTGCTACTAAACACAGAACTGTTTTCCACAAAACAGAAGTTTACTTTCTGCTAAGTAAAGAAAAAGTCTTACAGGTTATTAAAAAGCACGGTAACACTTTCCCCTGTATCTGTCAGTTGCGTCAGAAGAACGCATCTTAAATGCTATTCAGGAAGACACTAATTTGATTATTGATAACTAAACAATTTTGCTTCATGCAGATTGCCATCACTGTTCAAAGGGAAAGATGTTTCTAACTGGTTACGCCTCTGCTTTCCCCAATAATCCTTCTGTGCCAACACTTATTTCAAATAAACAACAGAGCTCTCAGCATCAGACAAAATTCCTTCTGTTAAGAGCTAGAAGTCTTAATTTCACGTCCTTCAAAACAAAGCACAGTATTAGTGATCCTTTTTGCTTACAGACTTTACTTAGGCAACATTTTAAATCATCAGAAGTTGACATCTTCAATAATCCATTACCACTACTTTGCCACAGAAGTAGTCTAGAAAGCCAACTCTCATTTAGCTCCAAATGATCTCACTGAAGGAGCTAGCTAGGATCACAGCTACTGGGACATTATCTGTCACATAAATTTCATCCCATTCAGTAAATTCATACCATCATAGCCAAAAGGATCAAAAAAAAGATAAAAACATCAACATTCATTCCTATCCCCATTCAAATTTCTAATTACAACAAATTAAATTCCCCTGGCATCTCCATGAGTTAATGTATTCCATGGTTAACATCTATTATTCCTTTTACATCCACTAGTCATTACTTTTAAATGAACTACATAGAAAGTGTTGGTAATTACCACCACACAATAGCCCCGTGAAATCTTTGTGTCAGGGATCTGGTTACTCAGCCTGAAGATAACATTTCAAGATCACTTTCCAACAGGACTAAGAGGGAAGTTTTTCTTCACCTTCCAAGTTCATGCAAGTGGATTTGAGACACAGGGGAGGGGGAGGAACAAAACCCCAATAAAACCTATTTTAAATCTAAGCACATAAATGAAAAATTCTACATCAAGTACTATTAAAATAATGTAATCAAACGTGTTCAACAGAGGTTGACACTAGGATCACAGTCAAAATAGATGATGCCACCCACTATGGGCTATAATATACACACACAGACCTTCCACAGCACACACCTCTAACCTGGTCAGCCAGGTTATCACAACTAAGCTGGTTAACAGCAAAAATACCTTCATCAGGAGTTCTCCGAGACTCATTAAAAAGATAATAATAAAAAAAAAAATAAAAAAATAATTGTGCAAATGTTTTTAAGGTAAGAATAATCCAAGTTAAATAACCAGTGTTTGGGTATGATTAGGGATACTGAAATGACAGGTCCCAAGCAAGACTTTAAATCATTGTCGATGAGATGATACTTTTAATGAAAACTACAAACCCATCACAGAGACAAGTAAGAGGGGTGTTTACCAAAGTCTAGGACAGAAAGGTCAAATAAAATTGCAATGGCAAATAAGGAGTCTTCAAAATTACTGGTTTTTGTTTGTTTTTTTTTTTAAAGACAGGCACTGCTAATAAGGTCATTAAGACAAGCTTGTATTTACAATGCCTCAAAAATAATCAAATAAAAATTGTTTATTGTTAGCTAAGCGAGTCTATTTTATATTAACATTTCCCCCAAAGGTCTAAGAAAGGTCAGCTACCACATTAGTTTCTCAGCCTTCACCGATAAAAGATTAATTATCACTGATAAAAGATTAATTATTATTCTTTTCTAGTCTCCTTCCATGACACATCACTTACAAAAAAAAACTTCATATAGCTGCACTACAGTTTAATTTTGACAAACACAAAAAAGGTCAGCAGTTAAAGGTTGTCCAGAAACACAGAAAAATTTAACTTCTTCCTATTTAATGCTTTACTGAAGACTGAAGTGGTATTTATAAGGAATTGAACATTTCCCCTAACGGAAGAAATAAAAGAAGTTAAATGAAAGCTTAAAACAAAACATGTAATAACTCATAGAAGAACAGTGCTTCTAAGCTGCCCGAGCTGGGAGATGAAGCCTGTCAACACTGAGGCAAGAAGGACTTGTGCAGTTCAACCAGCCCGAAGGCATGCCCAGAGAGAGGTGCTGCCTTGCCATCACAACCAGTGCAGCACTTTTCAATCACTACAGGTCACATTTTATTTTGCAACAGAACTGCTTCTCTGAAGCTCAAAGGAAATGCTGGAACAGGTACGGAGTGAGTATTGGTAATGCCAGCTGCAAGTTGAACCCACAACCTGCTTCTTCATGTGCAGCCCTTCAAGAGCTCAATTTCAACATAGCCTCTACTAATTCTTGTTTCCCAACCAATTGCAGTACTATTGGTAAACTACTCAATACTCTGAGTGATATATTATAGATGTGAGTAAAGCACTCTGAAAAGAACTGTTGTAACAGCAAAAAGTTGCTTTTATCATACAGTCAGCTCATAAACTCTATTTTTTTTCAGATTACTCACACACTCTCAATAACATATTCCTCTGCTCTTCGCAGTAGATTCAAACTGCACCAGAGTGTAATTTCATTAAAGAAGATTTATTCCCAGTTGGCACAACGAGAACAAATACAAATTCTAGCACATTATACTTTCTCCATTCACATGCTCTCCTCATATGAACTACTTTATTCTTGTTTCCTTATCATTCATAATTGCAAGCAACAAGTAGCATCTTTTCCTTCCAAAACACACAGCATTAAACAGATCAAAAGGGACCTTTTACTCTAATTCCCTCAACAGAACAAACCAAAATAACAAAACCACAACCAAACCTCCCCTCTCCCCCTCCATCACAGATTTAGTCATTTCCTATATCATATACTGCTGTCTTTAAAAAGTACATTCAAATACTTATTTTTCCAGATAACTAGTTGCTGACATTAAAATTACCAGAAAAACTATTTTGGTCATTAGTGAGAAAAGAAATGCCCCAGAAAAGCAAAGGTTTACAGACCTAGATCTGAAACTCCTGCAGTAAGGGATGTGGAAATAAACACATTAAAACCAGACCATACTCACAGAGAGAAAGAGAGAGGTAAACTTTTGTCACAGTCTAAAGCCAGCTTTTTTCACTTTTCTCTTCTAAAACTGCAATACTACCTGGCTGAAGCGCTCTCTTCAGAGTCACCCTAGCAAACCAAAGGGAAGAAAAAAAACCAAACCACTGGTCCATTAGCAACCCTGAGCAATAAATATATAACTGCTGCGTCTGTTCTCTTCTAAAAGGGAGGTGAGACTGAATCAGATTTGCTGGTGCTGCAGAAGTTCTGCATCTTGACAGAAAATGTTTTCTTATTACAGAAATAAAACATCAAAAGCTTATACATAAAAAATTACATCCCATCGAGAGGGTAAATGATGAGGTAGAATATAAAACTATACAGCATTGTAACTCTCTCCCTCTTATCTTAGTGGGGGGAAAAAAAAAAATCAACTCTTCATCAATCTGATGAAAGATTATCTAAAACCTCTGCGGATTAGTCCACAGCTGAAAATGCTGTCTGCATCACTGATTAAATTAAAGGTCACTATCAAATCTTTAGGGGAAATTTTGACTGAGTGACTTACAGAAAAGCATGTTTCCTAAACGAAGTAAAATAGGCTGCCTTGAATCCTAAATTAAAAAGGGCTTAACAGAATTGTATTACAGGCTCCTGTTTCCCCAACAATTCGAATGCACATCAATAGGTAAAACTCCCTACAGGTAACAAGCGAGCACTCAAGGGCTTTTTTTTTTTTTTACATTTACTTTTTTCATATTTCACTAACAAAAAAA